GAAAAACTTAATGCTGCGGCTAATGCTTAAAACAATCAATTGTTAAAAAGTTAATCAAATATGCTTAGATGGACTTGACTTAAAATGTAAACGGCTAACTGTGGCTGTGTGGTGTTTTGAGAGTGAAACATGGACTTTGAGTATTCTTCGTATTAATTTATCTGTTGAAATAGACAGAATAAAAACTGTAGTCAACCTGAACGCAATAGCCACGTCTCTGTCTGTGAATGACATCGCACTTATTAGCAAAAAACCCACATTGAAATGAGTGGTGCATTATTAAACGGTATTTGAGTGCCGCATTAGAAACGTGTGGGTGCATGACGCTCGTTACGGAGACATAATGGCTTTTTATTTCATTTTATTTATATATGTGTTATTATAGAGTACATCTGGTTCTTTCATGTAATCATACTGTTTAAAGAATGCCAAGATTCATTGGGTTCAAATTGTCAAAGAGTGTTTCAAGGAGCATGAGGAATCATTTTCACGCATGACTTGGTCTCCACAGACACACAGTTAAAGAACTACAATGGTTTCTCGGGTTTGCTAACTTTTACCGCCGGTTTGTGAGAAATTTCAGCCAGGTAGCCGCTCCATTCACCTCCCTCATCTGAGGAAAAAGGCCCCGACTGCAGTGGACCCTGGAGGCGGACCACACCTTCCAGAAGCTTAAAGATGCCTTTTGCTCCGCACCCATCCTTCGACAACCACATCCCGAGGATCCTTTTGAGGTGGAGGTGGACACATCTGAGGCTGGAGTGGGAGGCATCCTCATACAGAGAGACCTGGTAACCAGTCGCTGACACCCCTGTGCGTACTTCTCTAAAAAACTCACCCCTGCCTAACGGAACTATGAAGTGGGGAACCAAGAAATTCTGGCAATCCAACTAGCTTTAGAGGAATGGAGACATTGGTTGGTCACCCCTTCCAGGTCCTCACCGATCACCGGAACCTCAAATATTTGCAAACCGCTAAAAGACTAAATCTTCGCCAGACCCGCTGGGCTATGTTCTTCACTCGGTTTAATTTTGTAGTGACTTACCTTCCAGGACCGAAGAACATCAAAGCCGATGCACTCTCCCAGCAGTACGACCTCACGGCAGAGATGGATCGCACTGTTCCCTTCCTAGCCCCTTCGAGCTTCACGGCCACCATCTCTTCGCCTGTAGAAGAAACCCTCCAAGCTGCTAACGATCATACAACTCCACCTGCCAGCTGACCCCCTGGAAAATTGTATGTACCTACCGCACACAGACCAGCAGTCCTCAGGTGGGTCCATACCTGCTATAGTTCCAGGCACCCGGGGGTCTCCGCAATGCTCCGGTTGGTGGCATGAAGGTATTAGTGCCAAACTTAAGGCATCACACTTACCTCCGGCCGGACTGCTTTACCCACTGCTGATCCCATCGCGTCCCTGGTCCCATATCACGATGGACTTCATAATGGAGCTTCCCCTCTCGAAAGGGAACAGCGGTCGACCACTTCTCCGAAATGTGTCGACTTCTTGCTCTTCCTAAGCTTCTGACTGTGATGGACCTGGCCGGGGTATTTCTCATCCCAGAGGATGTAGTATCGGATCGTGGTCTGCAATTCTCCTCGCAGGTGTTTCGTGCCTTCTGCGCTAAACTTCACATCTCCCTAAGTCTGTCTTCTGCCTACCACCCCCAGTCCAATGGACTGGCCGAAAGAACCAACCAGGAGGTGTCCAAGGCTTTGAGCTTTTTATGCAAAGACAATCCCGCAGAGTGGGCTACTCACTTAGTATGGGTGGAATATGCCTAAAACACTCGAGTGAACCCAGTTGTAACTTTTCTTTCCCATTCTGACATTCAGTTTGGAGTTCAGGAGATTGTCTTGACCAGGACCACACCCCTAAATGCATTGAAGCAACTGACATGTGATTGGTTGATTAGATAATTGCATCAATGAGAAATTGAACAGGTGTTCCTAATAATCCTTTAGGTGAGTGTATATTTATATGTTATTACACAGTTCGCGAGTTTTGTACGCAATCGGCTGTGAAAGTTAGACCATTGATGTTTAAATGTTAGTTTTTGTGCACGACTCACCGTGAGTCAGCCCAATCATCGCTGAAACCATTGTAGTTTCGAACTACGGTAGTTAAAAAATAACGTGTTTCAAACTACTGTGGTACAAGGTTTTTGGGAAACAGTCGTACTCCGGATGTTGGTTAGTTTGAACTACCATAGTATGACGCATCGTTAATGCTAACTTCCATCATTGTTTGGGAAACGCACCCCTGATAGTTACAACATTACTCTTTTCCTTCCAATATTGTTTTATATCTATTCTCTACTGAATCGCCAGTGCTGTTTATCAACCTGACATTGTATCAGTCCTCTTTGATCAAGTCTCTACCGGAAACTTGAAATTCCCCAATACATCTTACTGCCAACTCGTGTTGTATCATTGTTGTCACAGCAAAAATAATTAAAATGAAAATAATGATTTCCTGACAGTTTGAGGGATCCCACTCCCATTCTTCCAGCCATTTGTTTTGAAGGAGTAGTGTCCTGGGGAATCGAAGAAGCTGTCCAAGCAGTCCAATGTTTTGTTCAACCACCTGAGGGGTGTCCGGCTAACGGACTCTACATACCTGATTTTTTACGCTCACAGACTCACCAGTGGGGACACTGCTCTCGCTTAACCTGTCACGCCGGAGTCCATAGAACCAGATCCTTGCTTCAGCAATGCTTCTGGTGGCCTTCTATGCTATGTGATTTTCTCAGTTATATAGCTTCTTGTCCTGCCTGGAATAAGAACTCCTCTCAGGCTCCAAACGGTTTGTTACAACCCCTTCTCGTTCCCCGTCATCACTGGTTCTATAGGGCCTTGGATATTGTGACCGGACTCCATCCAGGGGATTTAGCGAAAGAGACAGTGCAGCTACTCATCGACCATGTATTCAAACTCCATGGATTGCTACTCAACGTGGTTTCCAACAGAGTGCCGCAGTTTGTCTCCCATTTCTGATGGAAGTTTTGTAAGTTGACTGGTGCTACTGCAAGCATTTACTCTGGGTTCCACCCGCAAACGAATGGTCAGACAGAGAGGGCCAACCAAAACCTGGAAAGAATGTTGCACTGCTTAGCCTCCCACTTGCCGGGGTCCTGGAATGAATTCCTCCCTTGGGAGAATATGCCCATAACTCTCTGCTCGTTTCATCCACAGGATGGTTGTTGTTTCAGTGTTTCTTGGGCTAACCAACTGCCATTGTTTCCAGCATTGGAGGTGGAGGTTGTGGTACCCAGTGCTGTCAGCAGACCTGGAGGTTATCCTAGTCTTGCTTATTACACTCCCATGTCTGCACGGAGAAGTATGTCAGTTGGTGCTGCTCTGTGGCCCCTCCTCTCCAAGTGGGACAGAGTGTCTGGCTAAGCAATCTCTATCTATTTCCTCTCCGAATTTCCTCCCGTAAGCTGGCACCTCATTTCATAGGTCCTTTCCCCATACCCAAGATAATCAGCCCCACTGCTGCATCTACCGGGAGCCATGCGATGGGTCCACCCTACATTTTATGTTTCTCTCCTCAAGCCCAATGTGATCAGTCGACACAGCGTATTTTTCGCTTCTATTTCAGTTTATATCTCGCTGAAATATTTATGTAGAATCATGAAAAAAATGCTGAATAAATCCGTAATCTGTCTTCTTTTCAAAACACCCATTGTCAGAAGTATTAGAGTTTTTAATATTAGGTTAAATCAGCAAAAAAGTAAACCATGTTATCTTACTTGATTTTACCTGCAATGGGGGCGTGTAGTACCGCTGTAACCCAAAGATCGCTATTCACATTCTAAATAGCCGCATTAGCGCATATTGAAATCGCATTGGCATGGTAATTTGATGAACAACGCAATGGTGAAACGCAATCCAGATACGTCCCCATCAGTGCCATAAAAGGGGGGGGGGGATGTGGCCAGGTGTCAATGGCTCATCCATACACATGAAAGTTGCTACATATTCAATGAAAGGAGCCAGAAATAGTGACATGAGTTCGGTTTTTCTTATTTATTTATCCAACTGAATGTTGCAACTACACCATTTAGTCATCTTCATGTACCCAAGACTTTGCTGATCAGATATCTGGGATCGAAACAAACTTTAATAATGTTTCTGTAAGTGTTCCAAACTGCATTTTGCAATGTCTATACTTTGATGTCAAATTATAAACTTAACATTAATCTGACATGTTTACAAAGTATATTAAAATAAAGATGAGTTTAATGGCAAAACAAATATATAAGAATTTATTTTCCATGAATTAAGTTTATGATATTGAAAGAAATGTGTGATCATGCCCCAGTCAGTGAATGTGTGTTCCCTACCCCTAGACCCCAGAGGGTTAACTCTGAGTGTCTGGTTTACTTGTTCTCATCTGGTATCATGGCCAGACATGAGACTTCATGGTTTGTCCGGAGTTTGAGCGTTTTTTTTTTTTTCTTGTTTGCCTGCCTGCCTGGTTTTCTTGACCCCGATTTCCATCCCCAGATTCCGAGACAAGCTTGGTGCCCGGAACTCTGACGTACATCGCCCGACCTTTACCTGCGCACCGACTACTGTGTGCCTGTCTGATCCCTCTGATCACCGATATACATCGCCCAACCATCGCTTGTTTCCTGACTCCAGCTTTTATCTCTCAATTTGTATTGTGTTGGATTGCCATACTGTTTATCTCACCACCAGTCTCCAGTTTTGCCCTACCCCAAATAAAGCTGGCTTCTCTCCCTGAATCTGCACAAGACTCCTCCTTGACACATATTCTTAGTGGTGCACCAATGTGGAAACTTTCACTGCAGTGGCGATACTAGGTCTTGCTTGATCTAACTCTAGGTGCCCTAGCAAACACAACCCCAAACCACTCCCCTACAACAAAAAAGGCAATAACTTTTTATTAATGTCACACCCCAATCGTGCTGATCCTCCTGTGCCACACCCCCCTCGTTAACCTCATGTGGATTCTTATTAGTTTGGTGTATTTGAGTCCAAGTCAGAGTTTGTTTCCCTAGTTATGTCATTGTAGTGTTGTGTATTGTTACGCTGTCTGTTCCTTATGCCCCTTCGGTTTCCCATTAAATCGCTTTATTTTACCACAGTCCATATCTCCCTTGCTTGCTTCCCTGGTCTGGCGCTGCAACGTATGACAGAATGACAGAGCTCCAAAAGAAGACACCTCGGATGTTGCAGGAGGAATACCTCAGCGTTACGGACGAGGTAATACATTGGCTTGATCAGCCCGAATTCCGGGATGATCCCCTGTTTCGGGCTCTAGCCTACCGGTGCAGAGACATCCTGGAAGAGATGTCCCTGTCCGGAGATGTGCACCTGGCCGGGGAGGTGCATGAAAATCTGAGGCGGCTGAGACGCGGGGTGGCTGAGGCAAACTTAAAACGGGAAGCCGCAGCTCATGGATTGGCTTACGGTCCTTTCGGGGAATTGCCAGAGGTGCTCCAGACTTCGCCACCAACAACAGCAATTGGGAAAATGAAAAAGTGGAGAAAACAAGTAAGTCGCGCACAAGATTTTCCTGGGGGCTATCTCGCTCTCCGCTGCTTCCCCTGCCGGGTGTCGGGAGGACCCCCTCCCGATTCTGAACCCGGCGGTGTTCATGCCAGCTACTGCTGACCCTGATCTTCTTCCCGCCACTGTGCTGCCCACGTCAGCTGCTTGCCCATTTTCTGGGACGCACATGATCCTTAAAGGGGCCAGGTCCATTTGGCACGCTATCCCATGGGTTCCCTGGTTCTGGAAGCAGACGGCGCCCGTTCCCGGCTCCACCCCCCGTGGTTCCTGTGCCAGCTGTTCCCGTAGCACCCCCCGTGTTCCCCGTGCCGGCTGTACCCGCAGCGCCCCCCGTGGTTCCCGTGCCTGCAGCGCCACCTGTGGTTCCCGTGCCTGCAGCGCCCCCTGTGGTTTTAGTTCCTCCTGCTTAATCGCCCGAGGTCCCTGCCCAGTCCCCCGTGGTTCCTGAGCCAGCGTGATGTGCCATCCCCCATGGTTCCTGCTTCATCCCCTGGGGTTCCTGCTCTGCCCCCAGATCCCATCCCCCAAGACATCCATGATCCCCCAGACATTACTCCCGTACTTCCGGTCCCAGTCCCTGAGGAGGTCCCCATCTGTCGAACCATTGCTCCTCCACCCTTAGTGGAGATGGAGGAGGAGCTTGAATGGGACCCCTCAGGGATCACCCTGACCTCCCCAGTGACTCCTCCACCATCACCCCAGTGTGGCAGGTCCCAGCCAGGTACCCACCTCTGTCTCCTGGAAAGGGAGGGGACACCTGCGCTGGGGTCGGGTCTCGCCCACCCTGCCCCCTGGCTCGCCTTCGGTTCCCCTGGCTGTGGCTCGGCGGTCGCCTGCGGGGCCTCTGGCTCCAGCTCGGTGGTTGCCTTCAGTCCCCCTGGCTTTAGCTCGGCAGTCGCCTCCGGCGCCTCTTTGGCTGGCTGCAGTCCTGCCTCTGGCGCCTCGTCGGTCACCTGCGGGTCCTCCATCTCCGACTCGTCGCTCGGTTACATCTTGGCCGATGGTGGCTGCGCCTTCGACTGCCGCGGCTGCTGCTCCTTCCTCCCCTTCGCCTGTGTCCCCTTCCTCTTCCTCCTTGCCCCCTCCGTCAGTCCCTCCGCCTTCCTCCTTGCCACCTTCGGCGTTCCCTCCTGCTCCCTCCTTGTGCTCGCCGAGGGTCCCTCTGGCTCTGGCCTCGCGGTCACCTGCTGCCCCTGCGGCTTCTGCCCCTCACCTGCTGGGGTTCCCTCTGGCTCCCCATTTCCCCCCGCTCTTTGCCTCCTTGCCTTCTGCCTTTGTGCCCCCTGTGTTTGCTTCCCTCCCTCTGTGCTTTCCGGTCCCTTTGTGTCTCCTGTGGGTGTTTCCCCTGGTGTTGTCCCATCGTTGTCCCTCTCCTTGGGTTCCGTGTTCCCGTGTTTGGTGCCCCTGTGTCTGACTGCGTTCCCTGTGGTTTGTTGTTTGTTGTCTGAGTTGTTCTCTTTGTGCCTGTTCTGTGTGTCTGTGTTGTTCCCTGTGACTTGTTGATGTTTTGCTTTTGTTTTCCAGGTCCTGTGTCCCCGGTCCCGTTCCTCCGCTCCCCTGAGGTGCGCCCGGTGTGCGTGCCTTTGAGGGGGGGGTTCTGTCACACCCCAATTGTGCTGATCCTCCTGTGCCATGCCCCCCTCGTTAACATCATGTGGATTCCCAGTGTTTCACAGCTGTTTTGAGTTGTCCTTATTAGTTTGGTGTATTTAAGTCCACGTCAGAGTTTGTTTCCCTAGTTCTGTCATTGTAGTGTTGTGCATTGTTACGCTGTCTGTTCCTTATGCCCCTTCAGTTTCCCATTAACCCCTTGGGACGTGGCACACGGAAGGAGCGGACGATCGGAGCAGGACACATTGTTTGGATACATTTATTTTCTTACTTTACAAATTACTGTTTTGATAAATGTGCTTAAATGTGTTTAGTACAGTATATGCTCTTCTTGTTTTATCCGGTTAATTTTGTGTTTAAATGCTAAAAAAACATATTTAGGTGTAATTTTTTGGGGCCGGGAACCAATTAATTGGTTTTCCATTATTTATTATGGGGAAAATTCGATCACAACTCGAACTTTTTAGGATTCGATCCGGAGTTCTGAACGGATTAAATTCGAGTTCTGAGGTACCACTGTACTAGATATTTCAGGGGACCCCATTTGAATTCCAGGCGGCCGCACATGGGGTCGCGATCCCAAGGTTGAAAAACACTGCTCTCTTCTGTTTTACCCAGAATTGTGCAGCCTCAATTAGAAGCACTGTCTTATTTGAATTGCACACGTTACCTGCACACATTAAATAACTTGTTTCTACCATGCATCATTTAATGTCCCCATGTTCATTTGTATCTAAGATGCAATAAAAATTAAGTAATATTTTATTGATTATAAATTATATATTTTTTTTACCTTGTTCTTTCTATGTATTCATACCTCCACCAAAAAGAGTGAGTGGTGCCTGAAGCATTACCCCATAACATGCTAATTATTTACATAGATGTTTCTCACAAAATCTGATATTTCATTTTATGCTAATAAATGAGATTTCAGTAAACATGTATTCCCTCAGTTCAGGTCAGGTTGGGGAGCATGCACTGGTTCAGCCGCACCCACCACATGGGATCCCAGTTGGCAAGCCCCCCATGTAACCCTAACCCTAACCCTCCAGAAATGGCCATCTATCTGCCCCAGCCAGGTGTTACATGGGTGTCTCCTTGGCCTGGTCCAGCTGCTCGGGTCCTCAGCAATGAGTATCCTGCGAGCTAGGTCACCCTTCGGGGAATCGTGTCATATGGCTGTAGTGCCGTAACTGACAGCACCCTGATCACATCTAGTAAAGGGTTTGTGTATTTAAATTGGCAAATACGAAATACCAAAAATGGAAATGGCAACACCTCCTAAATTAAACTAGCAAAGAATATGTTCAATCCCTTGATTGTTCCTGTTAGCATCTGGGGGCCAGTGACGTGAGTCAGGTGATCCAGTCATCATTGTTTCCCTGTTTTTTCATCACAGAGTATAATGTATAAAAGGACAATTGACCACCATTAACCTTAACCTGAAAAGAAAAGCTTTGAAGAGAGATTTACAAGTAATATTTGTTGTCTTCGACTTAAAGTGAGTATCATGCATATATTTTTTTTACTCTCAAGTTTTTAACAACATATTAATTTAACAAAAACTTTTAAACATTTAGGTGACAGCCTTTAATATTTGTGCTGCACTGTAATTTCTATGAGTATATATATTTTTTTTTTCTAGGGACATATTGATAGCACATTTACAGTGCTGGAGATCTGCGGCTGCAGTAGTACAGGTAATCTATATTAACCAACCCTGCAAGACATTAACTTATTCATGTGTCCATGCATTCATATCCTGTAACTACTTAACCTTTACATCATTGCAGTGCCAGAAAACAATATATTACTTTTAAATATAGGCCTGCTACTTTTGTGTTCAAATAAACAAAAGATTGGAAAAAACTGGCATCCGTGATTATTGTCAGGTTATGCTCATGTCATTAATATATCCATTAATACACCCAGTAAAAACTAAGTTATTATACACTGTTTTATACAAAAAAGGAAAACACTGTCTTAAGTGTATTAGTATTGTGCCACAGCTTTACTTTTAGAAAAAAGACCAGCCGTTTTAAAATATGTATTTATGTAATATTTATTAATATTTATTTCTAATTATTTTCCAGGTGTCTGAGTGCCACCAGGCAAGTAACTACACTCCCCAAAAGTTCAGCATAATTTTAAATCTGAGTAGTTTAACAACCATTAATATTTATTAGTTTCATGTAAATACAACAAAACCCTCTATTTGATGTAGGCAATTATTTATGATAATTTTAGCCTTAACATTCAGTGTTTTTTGCAAGTTGTTTTAGACATTGTGTTGTAGATTTGTATACATTTTTCTGCATGAAGTATAGGCTTTAAAATAGACTAAAGATCGACATGATAATCCTCTAGAAGGAGACAAATGTGTTATGTAACTAATTTTCGTCTCCAATATTTTTCATCATATCATATATATATATATATATATATATATATATATATATATATATATATATATATATATATGATGAAAAATCGTAGTATTCACACAGGATGTACCCAGGATCTTGTGCCGGGGATACAATTATGGCAAGCCTGAATTGGAACTGGAGAACTAAATTTTCAGAAATGTTAACAAGTTTTAATTCCCAGGACTGTGAGGACTGAAGAAGATTGATGCTGAGAGAACATGTCTGGGATAATTTACCAAAACGATACAGCAAACTCTTTAGTGCGTCCTGATTTTTTCCATATCAGTGGATTTTCTAATTTGCCTCATGCCAAATTTTATTTTATTTTTCTGTGTTTAGTTTACGCTGTGACTGTATTGGGAAACTCCTTGGTCACATTTATTATTTACATACACCATAGTCTACACACCCCAAAGTATATGGCAATTTTTAGTTTAGCTATAGCTGACTTGGGTGAGAGCACAGCTATTTTTCCTAATGTGGTTCAAAATATTATATTCAATACACAACAAATTACCTATGGTGCTTGCTTGGCAAATATGTTTTTTGTACATTTCTTCAACTCTGTGCAGTCTGTTATGCTTACTGTTCTAGCGTATGACAGGTTTGTTGCAATTTGCTTTCCATTGAGATACCACAGCATTGTGACGAATACATCGATGGGTATTATTGTTACTGTTGGATGGATATTCAATTGTACCTATATGATTGTCGGAATGATTTTCATCATCAAACTGTCCTTCTGTAAATCCATAGTGATCGATAGCTATTTCTGTGACCATGGACCTATATACCGACTGGCATGTAATGATAATACCCCAAGTAGAACATTAGCAAAGGTATACATTGTATTACATCTATTTTTACCAATGTTTGTAATTAGTTTATCTTATGCAAGCATTTTGCTGGCACTGTCTAAAATTGCCTCCTGGGAAGGACGTCTGAAAGCCCTAAAGACCTGTTTTTCTCACCTAATACTAGTGTCAGTGTTTTATATTCCAATATTGGGCCTTTACATACCTGCACTCTATATCCCAATTGACCCCAGTGCCAGGATAATCAATACATCACTCTCATATTGTGTTCCTGCCATGCTGAACCCTATTGTATATTCTCTGAACACTGCCGAGATCAAGGAATTTGTAAAAAAAATGTTCAGAAGAAATAGACATAAGGGCATAGTACCCACCATAGTTAAGTGATAAAATGTTTTATCGTGCTTGCTGATAGTATCCAAATCACTGACATAATGGTTGCTTTCCCCAGGGGAAATAGTAGGAAGGAGAGGCTGAAAACATAAGGAAATCAGCTAACCAGAATTACAACAGATCCCAGTTCAGTGCATAAGGATTACTGTAGTCACTTTGCAATATGATATTTAATTAGCATTTATAAAGGTGACAACTGTTAAATCTATTCTGTACATACAACTATTATAGAATCATTTAATCATTTTGTCACTTTTAATCTTAGCAAAAATAAAAAACGAAACATTTTAAGTTAATAAAATATTTTTCTAGCTGAATAAAATGATGATGACTGCAGGAATTTTTTCCACAGTATTCCCTTAGTGTGTTGTTTATATGTCTATTGATTCACTATTTGGAGAAAAACATTGGGACCACTGGTAATTACACCTACGGGGACTTTTCTGACGTCCCATTCCAAATCCACAGGGATCAATATGGTGTTGGTCCCCCCTCTGCAGCTACAACAGCTGCCACTCTTCTGAGATGGCTTTCCACAAGTTTTGCATTCATTCATCCAGAAGAGCATTTGTGAGGTCAGGCACTGAGTTGGACATGAAAGCCAGGCTTGCAGTCTCTGTTGTAGTTTATCCAAAAGCTGTTTGATGCCTTTGAGGTCAGTCTCTATTCAGGGCAGTCTAGTTCTTCCACACCAAACTCAGCTAAGGTCTTTATCGACCTTTCTTTGTGCACTGTGGCACAGTGAAGCTGGAAGAGAAAAGGGCGTCCCCAAACTGTTCCCACAAAGTTGGAAGCATAGAAAAATATTAATAGCATAGAAAAAGAGTTCCTTTCACTGTAGCTACGGGGCCTAGCCAAACCCCAGAAAAACAGTCACATACTATTATCCTATAATAGTTACAGTTAGAACAATGCAGTCTGGCAGGTAACCACCAAATCCAGACTTGTCCATCAGACTACTAGACAGAAAAGCGTGATTTGTTATTCTACAGGACATGTTTCCACTGCTTTAGAGTCCAGTGGTGGCATTCTTTACACCAATCTATCTGACAGTTGACATTGTGCTTGGTGATGTGAGGCTTGCATGCAGCTGCTTGGCCATGGAGGCTCATTCCATGAAGCCAGGGAGCATGAGAAATCATTTTCACACATGACTTGGTCACCACAGAGTTGTGATTGTAACTTCATTGAAGGTCTTGAAGGAGGCTTTATGGAGTGGTTCAACTCACATGTTGCATAAGCCTGTGGAAACAATTCTGGGTTTTCCACTGTCAGAATAGCAAAATGGATTTGTACATGGCCATAAATGTTAGTTGGGCCTTGTTCTTTACGCTTTGTGTTAGATCTACAAAATAGAGCCCATTGCATCAATAGAGCATTGGTAACTTTTGCACATTTGGTACTTGGTAACCTACGCTGTTACTTTATGTGGTCTGCCACTCTGTGACTGAGTTTCTGTTCTTCCCAAAAGCTTCCACCTTGCAGTAAGTAATGCCACTTTCAGTTAACCCTGGAATATCAAGCAGGGAAGCAATTTCATGAACTGACTTACTGCAAAGGTAGCATCCTGTGATCCATTTTTTCATAAATGTTTGTAAACCTGACTGCATGGGTAGGTGCTTGATTTTTATACACCTGTGGCATTGGGTCTGAATGAAACACCTGAATTCAATGATGAGGTGTGTCCCAATATGTTTTTCCATATAGTGTATATCTTTCAAAAGTATGACCATTCATTAACGTTATAATGTCTTAAAAACATACAGAAATGTATCTTGGAATACATGGAATTAATTTATTGGAATTAATTGATTTTTTTTAATTCTCCAATTTATACTAAAATTAGTTAATTACTTCAGATTTCTATGTGAAATATTTTTTCCATAATTGTAGATGTCGTGTCATAGCGGGGTGTATGGACTGGGGAAGCAGGAGAGGAACATGTAGGATTGGGGAACACAGGATTTAATGGGGAATTGGAGCAGGGACATGAACAGGCAGAGAACACACCATAAGAACATAAGAAATTTACAAACGAGAGGAGGCCATTCGGCCCATCAAGCTCGTTTGGGGAGAACTTAACTAATAGCTCAGAGTTGTTAAAATCTTATCTAGCTCTGATTTAAAGGAACCCATGATTTTAGCTTCCGCTACACTAGCAGAAAGACTATTCCATACTCTATCTACGCTGTGTAAAGAAGCGCTTCCTCAAATTTGTTTTAAAATGTTCTCCCGCTAATTTCCACTTATGGCTATGAGTTCTAGTATTTAGACTAATATTGAAATAGTCATTTGGCTGAACAGCATCCAGACCCGTTAGAATCTTATAATCCTGCAAAAGTTTTCATTATTTTAAAATGGCATACAAAAGAATGTATAAAATGCATTAACATTACATTAAAAAGAAAATGCACACACAAATTGTCCAGCACCTATAAATAAATATTATGAAAAAAAGTATGGTAACAGTACTCAGTATTCATAACTATTCAGAGTCCAGATGTAAGAGTTCATTATTGTGCGTTTGATTCAGACTTCACAATCAGACTTCAGTGACAGACCTAGGGAAGCATACTCTGACGTGGACTTAAATACACCGGACTTAATGGGAATAACAAGAAACAGCTGGTAAACGCGGGGATTCCACGCAAGGTTAATGAGGGGGCGTGGCACACAGGAAGATCGGACGAGCAGGACCTGACAGTAGATATATTTATTTTTATGTTTTAAGATATTCATTAAATATTTCAGAAAGCAAACACGTCACATATACGAAAAATCCCCCGCCACCACACACACACAAATAGCAGTGTGTTAGAGTCTGTTCTTCTCTTTACAAATATGCCACGTACTGCTTCTACATGTCATCAAAATCTTTTATTTTCCCTTTGACTATATATGTAAATTTCTCCAAACCACAAGTATTTGTCCATGCATTTATAGATGGCAAGTCTGTACTTTTCCAAATAAATGCAATTACTTTCCTGGCCTGAAGAATTTCTAAATCTATCAGTACTGACTGTTGTCATACACTGTCAACAAAATGTTTCAGATATATTTAATTTTGTATAGAAATGCTGCACATCCTCTGTCCCAGATTTAAAATTTCTTCACTGTTTTCTTCTCTTTGGGTATTTTGTGATACATATTTTCTTTTTGTCATTTTTCCATCATCATTAACACAGCTCCAAATTATTGCTATAAGGTGTTTCTAAAATACACTTGTTCACTGTCCTGTAGTGCACAGTGACAGTATACAGATGCAGCCATTACAAAACTCAAGACTCACCATAGTTGAGTCTGAGTCAAGACCATATTGTTAAGTCACAATTGAGTCACGACCAAGTGCATAGGGGTTGGGGGGGAGTCCAAGACAGCACCAAATCGGTTACCGGAGCTGTGTAGCCCAGTCCTCAAATACAAACTCAATTCTAAACTCTAAATCTGAATTCAAAAACTACACTAAATGGACATTTATTGGGACACACCTCTTAATCTCATCATCTGGATAAATGGGCAGATATTCCCAAAACCACACATTCCCAAACCACACTCCATATTGATGCCTATAGATTTAGAATGGGATGTCATAAAAGTTCCTGTATGGACAAAAAACTTTTGTCCATAAAGTGTAAAAATTGAATACTAAACAAACACCTCAGTTTTATAAAATAATTTAAAATACTTTACTTAAAAATCAGAAATAATTATTTTCAAGTAAGAAATGAAGTTGTCAAACACTTTCACATCCAGCAACCTGTCAGCTTCGGGATCGGAATGAATACAAGACTAACAAATGGGTGAACAAGAGGTAGCTGGGTGTGATTAACACAAAGGCAAGAATGAGAAGGAAGACAAACAATATACAATGATGGTCCAATGAGCCACACCAGGGAGGAAATAGGAGGGTCAAATGGGCAGGGTGTGATAGTATCCTCCCCGAAACATCGGCACGAAGGACCAGAGGAGGGGACGCGAGGGACCAAACAACAAGGTGGACACACAGGGCTGGGACACCAGACCAGACAGGGGAAAACATTTACCAGGCAGCACTAGGGACATAGGACCAAATACACACCACTAAAGACACAGAGCGAACAAAGGCAAAGCCAAGGACCACAAGTAATGTACACTGTATTGCCAAAAGTATTGGGGCACCTGCCTTTACACACACAAGAACTTTAATGACATCCCATTCTTAATACATAGGCTGTAATATGGAGTTGGCCCACTTTTGCATCTATAACAGCTTCAACTCTTCTGGGAAGGTTCTCCACAAGTTTTATGAGTGTGTTTATGGGAATTTTTGACCATTATTCCATTAGAGCATTTGTGAGGTCAGGCACTGGTGTTGGACGAGAAGGCCTGGCTTGCAGTCTCCACTCTAATTCATCCCAAAGGCATGAATTTGTCCAAAACAGCTTTGAATGCTGCAGCATTAAGAGTTGGAACTAAGGGGCCAAGCCCAACCCCCAAAAAACAACCCCACACCATAATCCCCCTCCACCAAACTTTACACTTGGCACAGTGCAGTCAGGCAAGTACTGTTCTCCTGGCAAATGCCAAACCCAGACTCGTCCATTGGATTGCCAGAGAGAGAAGCATGATTTTTCACTCCCGAGAAAACTTCTCCACTGCTCTATAGTCCAGCGCAGTCTGATGCTTTGCATTTCACTTGATGATGTGAGGCTTGGATGCAGCTGCTCGGCCATGGAAACCCATTCCATGAAGTTCTCTATGCACTGTTCTTGAGCTAATCTGAAGGCCACATGAAGTTTGGAGGTCTGCAGTTATTGACTCTGCAGACAGTTGCTGACTTGCTAGTGCTACACACTGCGCACCTCAGCATACGTTGTCCTCACTCTGTGATTTTATGTGGCCTACAACTTCATGGTTGCAGATGCCGATATTTAGGAGTCAGGGTAAGCCGATGGCCAATTTATGCTGCCGATTTTTTTTGGCCGATAATTGGACGTTTTCCCCTCAATTTGCAT